TTTATCTGCAATTTTACTAAATTTAGGAGGCATTTAGGTTTATTCTTATGGAATATGTCAACCTCCGACTACAAGGGATGGTAAAGTGTCCCATAGTCGAAAACAAAGAACTGGAGGAATCCATCTGGTCGTGGCGACTCGACGCATAGTTCGATGTGGATATTTTTAGTTGCTTGGTTTATTTTATTTACAGATTATTCAGCCCAATATTTCATTAGAATACGCAAACGTAACGTTAAAGGGGTTAGAACGCGAAAATTAAACGGATAGATTATTCTTGCAGTGGAATGCTCATAGGCTGCTTAGTATGTACACCAGGTTTCGCGATTATTAGAGCTCTAGTAATTCCAATAATCAATTTACGAATTTCGATCATTTTCATCCGGAGTCCAGGCATTACTGCCTAAGTTAGTCACACCATGGCGTCTATAAACCACGTGATCATGAACGCTCTCTCATTCTAGGCCCCCCCACGATCGCCCAAGCTCACCTCGTCGTGGTACGATCAAAACCGCTCTCACAACTCGGCATCCCCGAGGCTATTCTCGCTCTCACCCCCAGCCCTTTGACCTTCCACCCTGCCTGCGCCTGCGAGATTGCCCCGGACGACGGCGACCACGGCGAGTTCGTCCGTGACTCGTCGTTGCTCGAGCTGGTCGCCAGCGTGTCGCAGTCAAATTGAACACATTCCAACATCTCTCGACGACAATCACGCTCATCGCATTTGCGATCAGTGTCGAAGACTTCGACGAAGCGGACGATGCCGTACTCATAGCCGTCACGGACCACGTGCTCGAAACGCTGAAGGTAACCGAGGAAGCTGGGGCTCGAGGGGCCAAGAGAGCCAAGTCTGTGAGTGCGTGCAAGGGAACGCCACGCGGTGAGCTGGTGACGTCACCAGCCCGCCAGCCACGGCGCCCTTTTCGAATAGGGCGGATTCGAGGGTCTTAAAAAGTATAGTTATCTCATATTTTATTTTTTGGCGTGTCCTGACATCTTTAATGTAACGCACCGTTCCAATCTTAGAAGGGTAACGAGAACGCGTTCCTTTTGAACCCCTGGATTTTGTAACGAGAAACGAGCTTTCTTTCCAGTTTTGGAGGGACGTGTGAAACACTGGGCGGAACCCATACCTTATCCAACTACTTCCAGAATGGTATCTGCGCCAACGATGCGCCGACTGCGACAACCGCGGCAGTATGCTTTATCTCTTCGTCGAGAACAAGGAGGACGTCGACTCTGATGAATACGGCCACCTTCATGACGTTCGGTGACAGCGGAACATTGAAGGAGAGCCGCCTTTATCCAACACTGCGGCAGCCCTCGACGTGCCAAACTGTCGTGCGCCCCGTACCCCACGCGGCGCTACGACTTCGTTTCACCCAACCATGCATTATACAGGCGGTGGCGCTACGAGCCATCAAAGCCGATGCTAACGCCGTGTGTCACCTGACTTCTGGGAGGAAGCGCAGTGACGTGCAGGGTGCGTATAGTCACCGGATGTGCTCAGAGCACTGCAGGGTGTTTCCGAGCTTAAAACAAATAAACCAATGAACTGACTGCACTGAAACTTTTCACAAAACAACGTCTCAATACTTGGAAAAATGGATAATTGGGCTAGTTGGTATATACATGGGATGAATAATTAGCGCCTCAAAAACGGATAGAAAACAAGACGGCACCGAGTGTTCGGCGTCGTCTTTTCCTGTGTCCCTGTCTTTTGAGGCGCTAATTCTTCATTCCATTTCTTTAGGCGGTGCATTTGTCATAGTCCAATTTTGTGAATGCGTCGGGTCTGTCGGGTTGACTGTTCTACTCGCACATGGCACAACATAAAGCAAAAAAAAAAAAAAAAAAAAAAGAAACATGAAAGATTTTTTGAGAGGAACACCTGAAAGCAGATCAGATCCGAGCGTACGCGGTATCATCTGTGAGTAGCCGCGCTAGCCAGGCGGAATTGGTCGTTTTTCTCCCCGCGCATAGAAAAAAACTGGTTTCTTCTAGACTTAATTTTTTTTTACCGGAGACCTACACTCATAAAGTTTGACAATGATAAAAAGCATCACCTTGTGGCATCGTTGTGACAAGTTTCAATGCAGTCCGTTCTTTAGTTTGTTTATAGCAATTTTTTTTACGCCTGACGCAGCTATACGTGCAGGGTGCGTGGTCACGTGATTGTTTAGCATGGCTCGTAGCGTTCGGTTCGGTTCATCGCAAGGTGGAGCGGAGCTTTGAAGCCGGCCGCGAGAGGGAGGTGACGGTCGGCGAAAGACCGTTTGTCTCCGATTAAAGGGGACGATATTGAAGCGAACCAAGCGCGCACTGTTTGACAAAGGGCTCCTGCCCCTGTTTACCGTCGGGCTTCGGACGGTGACTGGTTGTTCGCTCCGCGCTCCAAATTAATCCCGCAGTCGATGAAGCGAGAAGGAGGCAACCCTACACTCTACTATTGGGGGAACTGTAAACCTCTCCTCCGACTTCGCGCCTGTTTGTCTGTCTAGAACCGGAGCCTGCCTTTTCTATGTATATATTTTTCCCCCATTTCCCGGTTTCGTCGTTACTTTGTGGCTGGCGTGAAAGCATCGTAAATTACTTAGAGGAGCCGCCTCGCCGAACCTCGCTCGCTGCTCGCTAAATCGCGAGATTGTGATGGATGCGAGTCTGCTTTGTCTAGCGTCGGCTGTGGGGTGTGCTGCTGCTTCTGCTGCTCCTCCACTGGGGTTAACAAAGACAAGCGGCGAAGCGTGGCTGGCGGTCGAAAAGGTGCCGTGTCGTCGGGCAAACGCCCCTCACGTCGGGTTCAATCGTTGTTTTGGCGTCAAGGGTGTCTTTGATGGCGGCGGAAAAGTGCCAGAAGCGAAGGAAGGCTGATGTTACGCACGTCGCTTCTAATAATTTGCGGGGGTAGTGAACTTTTCTTTTTTTCGTTTGCGGGCGTAATTGTCCTATTGTAGGCCGAGCTACGCGCTTACGTGCCATTGCGCAGTGTCTGCGTAGGTACTCCGCTTGAAAGGCGCGGACTCGCACCCGCCACCGGCATCGATCTTCTGCATTGCAGAAGATGTAGTTGGCAGACGAATCGAATTGGTTATTCACGGAGAACCTGTGTATAACGGTGGTGGGTTTTTGTACTTTTTAATGTTTAGTGCTGCATTTAAACTGACAAGGTTTACGGTTAAGTTTGTATACCACATTTTATGAATTGCTGCCTTATATAGTTACATTATAGAGGGCATTTTTATTTTAAAGCTTGTCTATGTGTTTTTTTCGTGGTAAAAGGTTGCTGGGTTCCTAACCATGACTGACGAGTTGATGGCGGCGCAATTCTTGCCGTGTGACTGATCGGGCGAGTTAGGGAGTGCTTTCCTTTCAAATGTTATTATTTTGGTTATGTTTACCGTCGCATGTTTATGCATGTTTACCGTCGTTTGTGGTCATCGCCGGCTGTTCGGCTTCCCGTTTCACTTTAATCGGAGGAAGTCTTTTCGTTCTGAATAAATAATGCGCTGATAGATTTTTTTTTTTTTTTTTAAGGGGGGAAAGGGGGGGGGGGGGGGTTACGATCGCCCGTGTTCATGGGAAGAACGGTAACTCCGATCTCGCCAGCGTCACGCTTTTTTTAAATTCATTTTCGCTGTCTAGAAAATCGTGTTGTGAACCGTTTGAGATGGTTTGCTCGTGTAGATCTTGACTCACTTTTGACTGCCGGTAACTGCTGTACATCGTTCTATACTCGGTGACAGGGGAAACTCCTCCCACCTTTTTCCTCTTCAGCAGAGCGAACGCTGGAGAGGAGGCAACCCTTCCTTCAGCGTTCCCTCTGCTAAAGTGGAGGAAACCGGCCATATATGCTGCTTGCTTTCAGGTGGCTGAACATTAGCAAGATATGTCTTTGTTAACGTTTTCTTGCGCTATCTGCGCACCTCAGCTCGGTGCACACGAGGGGGCAACGGTTTCACAGTATGTTGCAGCCTACGAACTGCCCGCGTAGGCTCCGTCCACTCAAATGCAACGTTTCGCCCAGCAAGGCGCATTGGTCATAGCTTTGTTTTTTGTGCGCGCAATCTTGAAAAGGAAGCGCTTAGGGACGCTTCTCTCTCTTTGCTACCGGCCAAGAAAATAGTTATTCTAGACCGCGTTTCCCTCTCTGCAGAGCACACCGCAACGAGGACGCCGCTACTGCGCATGTGCGCCTGCTAGTCTCGTCTGCAGAGTTCGGGATCTCGCGGCGCGGGTTGCAGATCGGGTGTTGCGGGACGGCGGAAAGGGTCTACGAAAAGATTCATAATGGGGAGTTTTAAAACAAAGTATCGAAGTTTAGCGCATGCTATAGCTCTAAAACTGAGCGCTAACGGTTAACGCAGGTTGCGCGGACTTTTAGAACAGCGTTCTTGATTCTTCTTAGAACTCGGTTTGAATTCTGTGCAGTGGTGACGACGCTATTCCTTTGACGAATACGCAAAGCGCTTTGTCAAAGCGCTTTGCGTATTCATCCTTGTTCCTTGTTCTAAAACTCCCTAATGGTTCCTTCGTACTGAGTGGCGTAGGGACGCCATTTTACAGCGGAGCTGTTAAGGGCTAGTTTCCCCAGGATCGCGGCGCCCGCAAAGAAATGAAGACACCGAACTCTGGACACCTACCGCCACCTATGAGCGACGGCGGCAAGCCACGTATCTGGTTGCCGCCTTTGCTCATAGATGGCAGCAGCTTTTCCAGTCTGGCTTGCCGACTTGCGGCCGGCCATTACTTTCCATCGTACAGCTCCGCTGGTCTTCCTTCTTCACCAGAGTGGAAAGGCTGAAAGTTTTTTCTATGGGCATTCGGGGTCTGAACCTTTCTCGCAGTTTTTCTGTCGCAACGGACTACAAACTCCCTTTTAATTCTTGCGGGTTCGCCATATATAGGGCCATATAGCGCGTATAGAGATCACTGCTTGAGGGTGGTAAGCCAAAGCACTGTCACACTTGACTTACAGCATTTGACTCTGTATGCCTGCGCAGATGAACGGCCAGACGCACGGCGGTCGCATCCGGACCAGCTTCGGCGGCGTGGCTCGCAACGTGGCCGACTGCATGACGCGGCTGAGCGGCGACGCCAGCGTGCGCCTCGTGTCCGCCGTCGGCTGGGACCGCCACGGAGACGCCCTGCTCGCCCACAACCCCGCAATGGTGAGGCTCGGTCGGGCCAAGCGGGCTGTTTACGAACGAGTCGGCGTTTCGCCCACTACGCACTGCGCCGTGCGCAGAAACCACATTCGTGTGACTGCGCATGTGCGCGGTGTCGACTGCAGCGCCGCCGCAGCGGCGTGACGTCATAGCCGGGTGGCGGCCGCAATGTTGAGTTCTGACGTAGCTGCGTTAGGGAAGAAATAGCGGATCACTTTATTTGCCGATAGGAAGGCGCTAGAATTCGAGGGTTTCGTACCAATAATTGTAGTTTTTTCTCGGCTATACTTCTTTTTATCGCAGTTATGCTTAAACTATTTACTTTAGTTCATTTCGCCCGACCCAACTACGTCATATTTAAACATGGCAACCGTCCGCCAAAAACGCTCTATAAGTTTACATTAAAGAGAGACCTGCTGCAATAACCCGCAGCATCCACCAGGTGCTACACCTCCTAGACAGCAAGGCCGGAGGGCTGAATTTTTAACGCCAGCTGCGAACGCAGGACACTGATTGAACGCGAGTGCTGCGATAGCGTTCGGCTGAGACTCGTGTGCTTGCTGATTGGAGACGAGTCTCAGCCGAACTCTGACTCAGCACTTGGGTCCGATCCGCGCTTGCCTCGTTAGCTGACGTTGGAAGTTCAGCGCTGGGGTCTTGTCGCCTGTATCGCAGAGCGTCGAACCGGAACCGAACCGTTATAACCGAACCGGAAATGAACGGAACCGAAATTTTCGCCATCTTGAAACTGAACCGGATCTGAACTGTAAAAAAATATAACGGTAACCGGTTCAAAACCATTCACAATTTTTTTTTGGTTTATTACAAAATTAATGTTTGAGAAGAAATATGGGAAGCGGCATTTCTCTCTGTTGACAAAATGTTCATAGACATAATTGCAATGTATGAGACATTGTGGGGCTTTGTGGCGGCTTCTGTATTGGCACTATGATTAATCATCTGTCAAATGGTCACGTGTCGTCATGGTGTCAGAGTATGCTGTCAAGTAATGTCATGTTACGCGGCCCCGTGACGTCTCGTGACGTGTTCACGTGAATCACTGCCTCGAATCACCTAAAATTAAGGACGTCATTAGATTTATTAACGTAATTGATACCCTGATGTCACATGACATCACGACTTCGCACCGCCAGTCACGTGGCACTCTGACGTGCTTGCCTGTTATGAGACCGAGTCAAGTGCTCGGGTTCATGACAATCACCATCTCTAAACATTCGTGTAATGACTGGTGTTCAATCAAAGATGAGAATAGCCAAACTCGAACAATGTCTGAAGCTTAGCTCATGCTCTAAGCTTTGCCTACCTCAGCGCATGACTATGGTGAACAGTGATGTTAGTGTCGGACCACGTGGCCGCTTGTTCTAATTGTAAATTACAAAAAGGAAAGCTACTTTTTTCTGGTTTTTTTTTCTGCGTTTGCCATTGCCCGGGAAGGAAAACTAATGGGTGTTTTTGCAAGTCACCAATATCAGGCATTTGTTCTTAGCGATATTTACTGAAAAGAACACAAATTATTTCACGACCCATTTTACATGTACACATCACTGAGGCACCAATACATGTTTTCGTTGCTCTCGAACTGCATCAGAAATTTGTTTCCGAGAATAGAAGCACTGAAAGGACTAAATATGACTTCTTAACTTGATGTTACATAGAACTACAGGTGCATACGGGAGGAATACCTGAAAAGAAATATCAGCAGTGGCCGCAGAGGTACAGTCAGGCGTTGGAAGTCGGTGTAAGTCTCACAGTATTTTCGTTCTAAAGTTCTTCCCCAAGCTTTCACCACCTCCGTATATTTCTTAAGCTTCACAGTTTTTGTGAGCAAAATAAGAACAACGGAGGAATATTGTTAACAAGTGAAACAAATAGAATTGCCGAATTAGCACCTCGAAACGGATGAGGGAGTCCGCCCGTAATAAGAAGTATTCTCTGAAAACACAACGAAAAAGACAAAAAAAAAAAAAAAGGGGGGGGGGGGGGGGTAGGTTTTAAAAACATACTGTGTTGTAAAGCGGTATTCAGATAAGAAAAAAATCTCCAGGATTTCTCCCCGGCGCGCGCATCACGCGTGAAAACATCGGCGGATCAGTTTTCAATAACGTTTTGTCGCTAAACTTTTTGGTGCCAAATGTACAGCTGGCTAAATTCGTCTGCGGCGGTGTCAAGTGTGGAAACCGTTACATTGGACTGCAAACGCTGACATCCCTCCTCCCTAGCACCTCGTCGAAGGGAGACGAAGCGGAGGAGGAAATTGTGCCCGCTGTCAACGTCCCATATACAGGGTGTCACAAAAGAAAATTTACACGGTCTTTTTTACCGCAAAAATAAACTAGGCATCGCCGAACGCTCATTCTCCGCCCAAAGGTAGTGCTATAGGTCACAACCAGATGCCAAAGTTTCAGTCCGATCCGATAACTTAATCAAAAGTTATTAGTGATTTTCTGAAAATTTCAGTGGGAAAATTGCGGCCGACGGAATTTTCAAACACATGGGGCTCTATGGCACCAGAAACCGAAAACGGGCGAAAATGGGCTCCATTTTCCCATTGAGATTTTCAGAAAATCACTAATAACTTTTGACTAACTTATCGGATGGGGCTGAAACTTTGGCATCTGGTTGTGACCTCTAGCTCTACCTTTGGGCGGAGAGTGAACGTTCGGCGATGGCTAGTTTATTTTTGCGGTAAAAAAGACCGTGTAAATTTTCTTCTGTGACACCCTGTACATCCCTGCGCAGATTTCTCCCCGGTGTGAATAGCGCTTAAAGGTTCATCTGCCTCCCCATTTTCGGCACAGATCAGAAAGCGGGACTCCGGAAACTACTTCGTTTGCAAAAACACTCTTGCCAGAAAGCGCGTTTTCGTGGTGTCTGACGCACTCGAGGTTTCTCGGTACGCTCCACCAAGCAAGAATTCACTGGACGCCATATTTGTGGGTGCTGTTTAGAGCGCATGCTCAGAACGAGCCCCCATTAATAGGCTGCTAAGACCAGCAGTCTTGATGGTGCGGAATGCACGTTGCAAAAGAACTGTGGAAGCTCGCCGTCAGCACGCGCTCAGCATTCGCGCACACAGCTATGGCCGCCAGTGAATACTCCCTATAATTCGTGTATGTAAAAGATACGGTTTGCACAGAGTGCGAACCTTCTGAAGCGTGCGTTTTGCACCACTGAATTTAATTTCCTGAGCAAGAACAAATTGCCATGAACACCAGCATGTATAGTGCGATGGCGTCACGAGCAAACGATGTGAAACAGTTCAGTTTCCTGGTGAAATGCGATGTTCGCAACATTAGCAAAAGTAAATGTCCAAATTGTAGATTTCCGCAGTATACATACACCGTTTTTTTTTGTGTGTGTTTTCTTTTTAGTTGTGAAAGTCACGCAAATGCGATCTGCGCAAGTGGGTTACAAGGCCAGACGGGCACAGAGTTCAAGAGAGAATGCAACTAATAGATAAATAATTAACCAAATTTCGCTTATTACTTCTTAACTGTACGCTTTAGGGCACATGCTTATAATAAAAAAAATGGAGGCGACCAGTATTAAAGGCCAGCCCATTTTTTATATATATATATGTCCTGGCTCGAGCATGCAGTGAGAGACGAGTTATCCATTGTCAAATTTCGTTCAGGAAACCAGGCGTTCGAAACCAAACGCCTGATGCCCGCCGGAATGACGACCCTTCACTCTTAGAAAAAAGGGTACGGATAGTCCTCCCTTGCGGGAGGAACGGTCTTGTAACCTATGTTCCTTTAGAAAGGGAGAAACCTTCGTCCCTGAAGCAGGGGAGCAAAGTTCCACCGTCGCTTGCATCTCAATATGGCGGCCCCGAATCGAGCAAATCGAGCCCCATAAGGCTTAACGAGGACGCTACGTCTCTTGTACGGGACGAGAGCAGCAGCAAATGAAAGCGTAACACGAGCTTTCCGCAAACTGTGTTTATTTCCGAAGCCAGACTCCCCCTACAGGTACAGAAACCTGCGTTTCGAAAGCAGTTACTCAGTCTTCTCGTCGACAGCACTGCGATGTTAAACGGAGACAACCGATACCTAGTTACTTCGCGCACTTTGCATCTTACCTTTGGTGTTCCTCGAGTCACAATTCCTTCGTCAACCGCACATCACGGAGAAGGGCAAACTCACTCCGCGAAACTAAAAGCCGCTCTCGAAAGAACGAACACGCGTAGCGTGATAGAAGGTTAAATCGCTAGCCACCAGATGGCGGGGTCAAGCAGAGTAATTGCAAGTAGCTAGGCTAGGTGGCGCTAGGTACCGCCCAATTCATGTTCTACAAAAAATAATTTGCTTCTTTCAGGCCACTACTGTGCTTGAGGACCCTCTACTATACACACATAACACCCATACACTTATTACAAGCATCAAGTGAACATACATTAAGCACATGCACTGCACACACATATATCAATACAACGGAACACCACACTAACCCGAACACTACACCCGTGCCCTGCGTTTCCGTCTTTTATACTGGTCGTTTTGAACGTGCGGAACTTTTCGGTGACTCCCTAAGCAATAAAAAAATATTCCCAGCATGTTGATTTTTTCCCTGCAATGTCATACCTCTGAGAGTATTTTGAATGGCTCAGGGGTTGAATCTCTTATTAAAAAGTAAACGCTCAATCATGCCGTAATTATTTGAAAGCCAATAAATCAAGCCGCTCCAATGCGGTTCGAAGCCATGAGTTTGTTTCCCCACACGGCAAGTCGTAGCTTGTATTTCTATTTGTTTTTCTATTTGTGCTGTTCGCGCAAAGCTGCAATTGCCGTTTGAATTAATCTCTGTAGAGCGGATATTCAGTCAGCTGGAAGTGATGCTTCACGGACTGAGAAATTGCTTTTCGATCAACTTGAATGCAGTCAAAGCCGCGACTTGCGGCAGGTGTTAAGTGTACGGAACTACGCCGTGGCGAGCCCGAAAACTTCTAGCGCTCATCCCAGCGCGCCACGGAGGGGAGTTTC